CCAGTGGGTTCTAAAGCAGTCAAATTATTAATAAACTTGTCAAATTGGTACTAAACTAGTCCATTGGTTAATACACTAGTCCAGTGGGGACTACACCAGCCCAATGTTTAATAAATGAGTCCAATGGGTACTAAGCCAGTCCAATAGTTAATAAACTAATCCAATGGGTAATAAATCAGTCCAATGTTAATAAACTAGTCCAATGGGTACTACACCAGTCCAATGGTTTATAAACTAGTCCAGTGGGTACTACGCCAGTCAATTGGTTAATACACTAGTCCAGTGGGTACTAAACCAGTCCAATGGTAAAAAAAAACTAGTCCAATGGGTACTAAACCAGTCCACTGGTTAATACACTAGTCCAGTGGGTACTAAGCCAGTCCAATGTTAATAAACTAGTCCAATGGGTACTTAGCCAGTCCAATGTTTAATAAACTTGTCCAATGGTTTATAAAACCAATCCCAATTTCACTGAACAGATACACAGTCATATCCTGAGAGAGAGAGAGAGAGAGAGAGAGAGAGAGTTTAGCCAGACTGGGTTAAATAGTTTGATCTCAGCCTGTTGGTTTTTGATCAAATGAAATATTTGACCCTGCTGTAAGGGCTTATTTGTCGTAATTGAAGGTGCTTTAAAATGTGACATTTGTCTGCGGGCACACCACTCACACGGCCAACAGTAAAAATAGAATAAACTGTCACTTTGTCCACAATTCCCGTTTCCAACTTCACTGATTAACATTAAATTGTACCACAAATGCAACTCTACCATTGCAGAAGTAGCATGATCAGTGCTTCTGCTAGACATAAGCTTCACTGTCCTCCTATTTAACTGCCTACATAGACAGGCTGACCTTTTACAGTATGAGGTGTAACTGTCCAGGACAACTGTTGAAAAGTGTTGTAATTATCTTGTCACGTTCCAGTCACTCTGATAATTCTGTTTGAATAAACTACATAGTGGGACCGCTCAAACTATTATACTTAAAAATGCGTAAAAGCAAAATACTAAAATGTACTAAAATACGAAAAGGAATATCTGGAAATTGACCGCTTTGGTTTCTGTTGGTCCATCAACAGAAAAAAAAAAACATCAAAATTGATTCATCAATTTGCCTAACATCATATTGCCTCCGGGGCACATGGTGGCTTAGTGGTTAGCACTTTCGCCTCCCACCTCCAGGGTCCGGGGGTTCGATGTGTGTGCAGAGTTTGCATGTTCACCCCGTGCTGCGGGGGTTTCCTCCGGGTACTCCGGTTTCCTCCCCCAGTCCAAAGACATGCATGGTAGGCTGATTGGCGTGTCTAAAGTGTCTGTAGGGTAGGCTGATTGGCGTATCTAAAGTGTCTGTAGGGTAGGCTGATTGGCGTATCTAAAGGGTTCGTAGTGTATGAATGGGTGTGTGAATATGTATGTGATTGTGTCCTGCAATGGACTGGCACCCCTGTCCAGGGTGTACCCAACCTGTGCACGATGATTCCTGAGATTGGCTCCAGGTTCCCCCATTACCCTGAAAAGGAGTAAGCGGTAGAAGATGGATGGAAATTGCCTCCAAGTGTCAGTTATATAATTTTTTGATCTAACATGGTCTATCAAAGTTAAAGCACATATGCACTTCCTCGAAATGTAAGGAATTTGGTGATTTAGAACAAATACTTTTTAAACAATATACGCTTTCAAAATAAAGAATACTAATTATTTTATTTTGTAATTCATAGTATTTATGTGTTTATTTATTTATTTATTTATTTACATGGGGGTATAAGGCAACTATTGTTGTGCATGAAAATGCTAATGTTCCTGCAAATTGATGAAGTGTTGAGTATAAATAGTATTTTTTTTGTGGTTAATGTGATGATACAGCAACGCAATAATGGGACACTGCTTTTTGAATATGAGGTCAAGAATACTTACAGTGCCTTGCGAAAGTATTCGGCCCCCTTGAACTTTTCAACCTTTTGCGATATTTCAGGCTTCAAACATAAAGATATAAAATTTAAATTTTTTGTGAAGAATCACCAAGTGGGACACAATTGTGAAGTGGAACGAAATCTATTGGATATTTTAAACTTTTTTAGCAAATAAAAAACTGAAAAGTGGTGCGTGCAAAATTATTCGGCCTTTACTTTCAGTGCAGCAAACTCACTCCAGAAGTTCAGTGAGGATCTCTGAATGATCCAGTGTTGTCCTAAATGACTGATGGTGATAAATAGAATCCACCTGTGTGTAATCAAGTCTCTGTATAAATGCACCTGCTCTGTGATAGTCTGAGGGTTCTGTTGAAAGTGCAGAGAGCATCATGAAGACCAAGGAACACACCAGGCAGGTCCGTAATACTGTTGTGGAGAAGTTTAAGGCCGGATTTGGATACAAAAAGATTTCCCAAGCTTTAAACATCCCAAGGAGCACTGTGCAAGCGATCATTTTTAAATGGAAGGAGTATCAGACCACTGCAAACCTACCAAGAACTGGCCGTCCCTCTAAACTTTCAGCTCAGACAAGGAGAAGACTGATCAGAGATGCAGCCAAGAGGCCCATGATCACTCTGGATGAACTGCAGAGAACTACAGCTGAGGTGGGAGAGTCTGTCCATAGGACAACAATCAGTCGTACGCATGTGTATGTACTGTATGCAGTGAGGGCAGGGCAAGATCACAGAAGAAAAAAACAATCGAGTCCGTGTCCATCCTGAAAGGGCTAATTCTCGAAATTTCTACAGCGAATGAATAAACAGCGCCTTTGCTCACGAAGTGTCACATTGCTCTGTGTAGAAGGATGTAACGAACATTAAATCTGCAAAAACAAACGCCCATGCAGGATAAAAAACAAAAACAAAACAACAAATGACAAGAAAAAATAGGAACACTAACACACAGCCGCTGCTAAATAGACAGTGTGTAAAAGCGTCATGTCCTGTTGTGTATAAAACAATGGCTGAGGATAAAATTACATCATCACATTTACTCTATGCTCTGTGGGAGAAAGACAGCCTTTTATTATGTGTCATTTCGAGTGACACAAACACACACAGTGAGAGTAAACACAGAGAGAGAGAGAGAGAGAGAGAGAGAGAGAGAGAGAGAGAACTCAGAGAAATAATTAAAGAGTGTGCTTTCAGTCTAAAGAAATAATATCTGCATTCTATACCATGGTGAGGAACTGATATAGAGTGCAGTGATGGAAAAGGTCCAAACTCTTATTTCTTAAGACTAAGCGCTGTGTATCATCTGGTTTAACAATTTAAACCAGATATTAGAGAACAAATTCTGACCAATCAGATTTGAGAATTCGATTGAAGTTAAATGAATTTAAATGAATAATAATAATAATAATAAATAACGTGCTGTTGTCTAACACATAATAACCTACTATATTTATTGATATGGTGACGTTTTCTGTAAGGGGGTGTTTGTTTTTGGAAGGAGTCTCCAGTTGAGTCAAAACTGTAAATGCGGTCTTCGCCGGCAAACAAGAAACGTGACATTCCAGGATCATTCAATGCATAGAAACGATAGCATGTTAACAACGTTACAAACATAAACACTAGTACAACTAATAATAACGAGCACCGTGCTCAGTAACTCCGGCGTTTAAATAACAGGTGTCATTAATTCAAAATACAAACACCATAACGCTAATGCTCAATCCAGGAAGCGAGCGAACCAAAACAATGTCACGTGGTCTGTCCAAAGACGAGCCACAGCGCCCTCTGCTGGACATACCGTGACACATACAAATTGGAAAATAAAAACATGGGAGTTCTTTGGATAGTTAAAGGTTCTTAGCTTACTAAAAGGGATCTGATTGGAACTAGGAACATTCCTCACTATTTTAGCGTTCTACAGGTGCTTGTAGAAATAAAAGGGTCAAGTAACCATTCCTCTGATAGTTAAATGTTCTTGGACTTGTAAATTGTTTCTACTTGGAACCTTCTTTGAAAAAAGAAAACTTTCTGTTATAATGCTCTGCATATACTTTTCGGAAAAAAGGATTCTTTCAAGTTCGGGGGGTGGGGGTTTAAAATGTCCTTTGTAGAGTGAAAAGTTCCTTCTTTCTAAAGACCTTCTACTGCTACTTTGAAAAAGGGAAACTTTCTTTCATAAGGTTCTAAAAAAAATATGGATTCTTTAGGGTTTGCTTTCATAGTTAACGGTTCTTAGCTTCCTAAGCAGGTTCTACAATCATTTCTGTTACAGAGTTTGCATTCAAATATATGACTTTATTATTCTCATGTTGATGGTAGGTAAATATTTGATGGATCAGAATCAATGCTGAATTCAATTTATGCTCATATTGATATTTTTCACTGTAATCTAGGCACACTCTGGCTAAATGCTCGCCAGAAGTCTAGAGAACACGGTTCTTGCTTCGTGTTAAGCCCTGTCACTGCTTCTCCTATATTTAAAACAATAAACATGTCCGGCAGGAACTCTTAGCCGCTGGGGTCAGGAATCTGTCCATGAGGCTTTGGCGAACACACCTGATGTGAAAGGTCTCTGAGCGGTGAAGCAGGTTGCAGCGGTAATTACTCCTCCTCTTACACTGTGAGCTGAAAAGGTGAAGTGACATTCACTATTATCGAAGATAAGAGAAGAGAATGGACGAGCAGATAGATTAATCAAGCAAGATAATCAGGAAGTTCAAATATGAGGAACGGATTAAGAAAATTAGTTCTGTAAAAAAAAAAAAATTCCTATGTGGAATTTCAGGCTACAGTTGAGATCATATATCCACTTTGCAGAATCTTCTATCCATCCATCTTCTATACCGCTTTATCCTTTTTCAGGGTCATGGGGAACCTGGAGCCTTTCCCAGGGAGCATGGGGCACAAGGTGCCAGTCCATCGCAGGGCACAATCACATACACATTCACATACCATTCATACACTACGGACACTTTGGACATGCCAATCAGCCTACCATGCATGTCTTTGGACCGGGGGAGGAAACTGGAGTACCCGGAGGAAACCCCCGCAGCACGGGGAGAACATGCAAACTACACACACAGGGTGGGAATCGAACCCCAGAGCCTAGAGGTGTGAGGCGAACGTGCTAACCACTAAACCACCGTGCATGCAGAATCGTCTAAATGTTCATAAATTAAATAAATAGAGTCCATAAGACACAATAATAACTATATTGGCACAAATGAACCAGCTCAAAAGTTTACACATGCTTGATTATTAATACTGTGTGTCATTACCTGTATTTATGTGTTGTAAGAGTTGTTCACGAGTCCCTTGTTTATCCTGAGCAGTTAAACTGCCCATTCTTCTTCAGAAAAATCCTCCAGGTTCTGCACATTCTTTACTTTTCCAGCGTCTGCTGCATATTTGACTCCGGTCGTCCTGTTTAAAAGTTTACAGCCCCGGCTCTTAACATGCATTGTGTTGCCTTTTGAGCATCAGTGAATGTTTGCACCTTTTATAATAGTGTTCATGTGTACGAGTCTCTCAGTCATCCTCAGTGTGAAAAGATGGATCTCAATCAAAATCATATAGTGGCTGTTGGAAAGGAGTCAAATATGCAGAAGTTGCTAAAAACTGTAAACTTATGACCTGAACTGTATTTGCTCAGTTGGTGTTTTTCAGTCATATTTTTCATGACGTTAACTAATATTTCTAATTAAAATAAAGAGAAAAAGTAAAAGAGAACTGACAGAGAGTTTTTGAATACAAAAGGGTGTTTTTTTTTATTTTAATATTCATTTCATTTTCAAAATTAATTTGTTTACAAGTATGAAGTTATCTGTTCAATTATTGTACTGGTATATTCTTTATTTTTTATTTCATATAGAGGATCTTTAAAATATAATACTGCATTAATTAAATACAAGAAGTAGATTAACAGCTTGCATATTTTTAAATAAATTATTATAAATAAAATCAAAATAAATAAATAATTTTAAAATATTTTGCTCATTAATACGGGGTTGGAGATGTTCCATAAATGTTAAGGAAAAAAAATACAACAGATCCTTACAGAAAACTTCATTTTAATTCCATAAGGTTATTTTTTTAATCTGTTGAAAAAAAATTATAATAATTCAGTCCCTGTATTAGAATGAGTGCATTAACATGAGCCTGTGATTAATCTGAGAAAATTAACCGGAACCTTCTAACTAATCAGAATTGAGAATTCAACAGCACTGTGGAATAAAGTACCCTGTGAAGCCTCCTTGCTCAACGTTCCTGCGTGAAAATTCTTCCACATCCTCCAGAGCCATCTTGAATCACTGTCTGATTTCAGTTGGAAAACTGTAATGGCGTTGAATGCAGGTCAATTCTGCTGCAGCTTCACTCGGCCGAATGTTAAGCAGCCTTTCAAACACGTGAATGGGAATTCTACCGGTTCAAGCAGAATACTGATCGTGCGTGTGAACGAGATGAAAATATCCCTGTCGTTTTCTAGAGGTAGCTGGAAAGATAGCATCATTCTTACTGAGAATGCCATTTACTCCCTCCTTAAACTATGCATCAGCTTTAAAGCTGTTTTAATGCCGTGATGAAACATCCTGACATTTCAGGTCATTGGTATTCCGGGGATGATCCCGCTACACTTTCAATCCAGATCCGTCATGATGTTTTATTATGGAGATCACATCACCTGGAGCCAGGATTTTCTTTCTTTCTTCCTTTTTTGAAAGCGATAGGAGGATATTTCGTTTTTGAAGTAAGGTTGAAGAGTTCAGACGTTCGGCGTTCATTTAAAAATAAATGCACTTGCTCCTGAGAATATAGCTCTATTCTCTCTGAATTTGCTTCAGCCGACAGAACATCATGTAGACTCTTGTCTTGGTGGACTATAATTTCATTCAGCCTGTGGCAACCTACATGCCATGTTTTTACCTTAAATGAACTCTTTACACCACAGGGCCATTGAGGTCGGGATTCTGGTTGATCGAAAAGGTACACTGATTTAATTTTCTATAAACAACAGCTCTGACCAGTCAGAGGTTGATATTAATGCGCTTGGTGATACATTATCGTTGCTATAGTAAGTAAGTAAGTCACATGGACTCGTATGCATAGGTAAAACTGTAAGTACCAACATCTTCTGACATCTTCAGGACATAGGAGTTTACGCTTTATATGTTTGCAGGATCCGGTAGTGGTAGTCAGGTTGCGACCTCTATGCTATGGAGTGAAATAAATAAATTTAAATTGAAAGAAAGATGACACCGAGACTTTTGACTCGAGTTGAAGCGGCTGTAAACAGTAATAGCCTGTAGGTAGTGGCTTATTTTCTTTTGGACTAACGAGGGCTTAATCAGGACGGCCTGAGTGTGTCATTTCCGAGCTCAGTCATTCGGGTCATTAAACCAGTTGGCCATGAGAGCAGAGCGGCAGGAGGCGGTCTGTGTAATGGGTCAGATGTGTACGTCAGTATAGCAGTGAAGTCCACGCTCTCCAATATTGCTAAGAAGAAGCGTGTTTGTAATATATAATGCAGCAAGACTTTAGGAACACCATCATCACCAACACCAACATAATTTATTTTCCATCTGTACACATTCATGCAGAGGTTTAACTAGAACCAAAAGAATTTACACAGGTACACTCATTCTCTGATTTATTCTGCATTCATATTAATCAGTGATGCCGGTGGAGGATTTCATAGGAATTGCTATGTTACTTGTGGGCGTGGCCTGTCAAGCCTTTATTTAGTTTTGGGTTCTGTATGTAATTATGGCCATGTGCTTTGTTTGTTCCTTCTGATGGTGGTGAGCCAGAGAGAGAGAGAGAGAGAGAGAGAGAAAGAGAGAAAGATAGAGAGAGAGAGAGCTGACTACGCTGACACAACACTCTCACATTGAACATGAACATAACAAGCCGTGAGTGGGGTTGTGTTTGATTTTGTTGCCATCTGTCCACTAACTGGAAGATTCAGCACATGCTGAAAAAGCACTACCAAGAAAAATAAAAGGAACTAATAAGCTGTGGGAAAAAAAAAATCACCCGTCTCACGGCCTTGCTAAAAGAAAGAAAACAACAGAAACCCTCACAGAATTAGTAATTTCGTAGTTTTAATTGTTATAATGGGAATTGTATTGGTTTTAATGGGAACTGTAATGGGTCTCTGCTGATAATTTGTTGCTTTCTATTAGTGGCATAATTTCCATTATGTCTAGTGGATACCATTAAGGACCTACGTCCTTCATATTTACTACTGCATAATGGAAACCATTTGGTAATGGTGTTAGTGGTTAACAGCTGGTGGTTTGTGATGGCATTTATAATGGAAACCATTAGAATTTCTGTGATGGTTTACTTTTTTTTTTTCTTCAGCATGCGCAATTCTCACATGCGTGCACACACACACACACACACACACACACACACACACAAAACTCAATAATTTTTATTGATTACTTCGGAAAACTGCTCGATTAATATTAAACAGATGAAATAAAGAATTGATATGGTGACATTTTTAGATGTTTTTGTTTATTTTTTTTAGATGTTTTTAGACGTTTTCAGTGCTTTGTATCGGTCCGAAATAAAGCTGTAACTTTATGTTTTCCATCTAGCTCATTTCAAGATTTTTTGATGGTGGAAATAAAAAGAACACTTTTTCCACTGATAATATCTTTCTAATGTTGATGAGATTTCCTACTCGGTTCTTTTAAGATTAAAACGGTGTGTTTTTTAATTTTATTTTAACGCCTGTTCTGAAATGCAGCACACACTTCCACATCACTCAGTTAATCTCCATCATGAATAAGTGACCCATTTCACTCTAGTGTGTTTGTGCCAAGTTTCTCATTTGCTCGAAGCTCCCTCGAGCGACTGACGATAAGACAAAGATTTTTTTTTTTACTTTTTAGTATAAGTACACATTTGCCATGCTGTGATTTTGGCAGAGTGTGTTTCTTGGATTCTGATATGAAAAATCGTCATCAAAAACGCAGTGGGAAGACTAACTAAATTGTAGTAGAGACATGTGTGAATTTTTCAATAGGATAAACATTTAATCTCAGTGTATACTTAATAGCTGGAACTACGTCAAGATAAATCTTTCAGCGTGGTGTTGATGAGTTCTTTCTCTTCCCTTCAAGCAGGTACGTTATGTTGTTGGGAAATGGTGTTCCTCATAGATGGATAAATCACAAGACAAGATGGAAGAAATGTTTACTCCTGACTTCATGAAACTCACACATCAAGCATTTAAAATACAATATCATGTGACCAAATATGGAGATGTTAATACAGAAATGTTAATACATTCATAAATATTCAGAGATATTACTTCAGAAAAGTTTCCTTTTAAAGAGTTAACACCATTAACCAACCAAGGAACCACTATAAGAACCGGATGTTTTTTTTTTGGTCAGATTGTATCTTTTCAGGAATGGTTTATCAGTATTGGACATTTTGTGTCTCTGGACATCACTTTCCAAGAGTTGTTACACATGTAGAGCATTTAATCCATCTGAATGAAACCCTGGTGTGTTCACTATCTTGATACGGATCTTAAGCAACTGTTGCAGGGTCAGTGATGTGAATATCCTATTGGCTCTGCTTGTGATATGGGTCCGGTAGACCAATAGAATGAGAGCTACCTGGTTATTTAAGGACTCTTATTTTGGTAAGCAGATAAGTGTCTTGGTGATTCCGAGTCCCTCGCTCCCTATGGCATTTCCGGTTCCCACTTCCGTTCAGTTTCATTCAGGCTTTGTCACAGTGTAATGAGGTGAACACCTCAAGGCTAATTTGTTCTTTTTATAGTCTTAGAGCGGAGCTGGTGGCGCGTGTATTGAAGTGAGTTGGCGCCGGAAATCGTGGAAAGTGATTGTAACATTTAGCCAGTGGCTGAATGATATGTGTATATATGTTGAGCCGCGGTACCTGTGAGTACTCATACAACTTCGAGCCTGGTGTTTGTTCAACCCAATGGTAAGTGCACCTCTCCATTTTTCATATTGGGACTTGGTAAATTTAGGTTGACACTCTGATCTTTCTGTTAAGGTAAGAGTGGGGAGTTGAGCGAAGTCTTCTCTATTACAATCTCCTAGCCAAAGAAGATATATGTGACACCACTGCTGTTTTACTTTACCTGCTTTTTGTATATCAG